TTTTTTTTTTTTTTTTTTTGGTACGGGGATCAAACTTTGGTCCTTGCGCTTGCGCAGCAGGTGGCAAAACCACTGAGCTAAACCCCTGGCCCTTGCTGCTTCATTCTTGAGGTCAAATTTGAGTCTAAAAATATCAGGGATGTGGCAAGACTTAAGTTTTAATTCACTGTTCTTTGCTTATTGCCACAGACTCTTCAACATCTTAGCTGTTAAATCTAACTAAATCTAAATAGTAATAGGACTACTCAGTATGTCTTCTGAATCCTAAATATTTTTAAAATATAAAATTACATCCTGGATTTCTGTTCTTAAGAACAGTTGTTCTGGGCTGGGGATTTAGCTCAGTGGTTCTGCTGCCTGCCTTGCAAGCGCAAAGGCCTGAGTTCGATCTCCAGTACCAAAAAAAAAGAACAGTTCTTATTTTTTTTTGCCCATTTTATTGTATAATATTGTAAAGTTTTTTAGTATAATTCATAGTACTTAATAATTATACTTATTAATTATAATTAAAGATAACAATTATTAACACACTCAAATGTTTGGGTAGTGGGAATTTTCAAAGATTTGTGCAGCTTTCTAAAATCAGGTCTTTTTATTTATTTTCTGATACTAAAGGTTGAACTGAAAGTCTCATGTATGCTAGAGACCACTGAGTCAAATCTCCAGCCTTTTTTGATAGGGTATTGCTAAATTGCTCAGTCTAGCCTTGAACTTGATATCCTACTGCTTCAGCCTCCTCAGTGGCTAGGATTACAGGCATTTGCCATCATCCCCTGTTGTCTAAAATCATTTTTTTAAAGAACTCTTTAAAAAGCTCAAATAAACCCAATGGTACTTAAGAATATGTTAACTGGGGCCGGGGATTTAGCTCAGTGGTTTTGTCGCCTGCTGCGCAGGTCCAAGGACCCGAGTTCAATCCCTGGTTCCAAAAACAAAAAAAAAAAGAAAGCGTATGTTCATATATATATATATTTTTTGGTGCCAGGGATCGAACTCAGGACCTTGTGCTTGCAAGGCAGGTGGCAGAACCACTGAGCTAAATCCCCAGCCCTATATATACTTTATTTACCGTTATTCTTAAAATCACTATGGGCGAATAAAGCAGTCATCTTTTTTTGTTTCATTTGTTGTTTTTTTTTTTTGAAACAGTCTCACTATGTAGTCCAGGCTGGCCTTCAACCTATTATGTAGCCCAGTCTGGCCCCCAACCCTGGTGATCCTTCTGCCTCAGCTTCCTGAGTGCTAGGACTACAGGTATGTGCCACCATGCTCAGCTGTTCTTTCAATGTAGTGTAGGATTTAATGTCAAAATGGGTATATGAGTTAAAAGTACTCAACAAAGGTTAGTTTAAAATAGTGCTACTGCCAAGTATGGTGGGTGCATGCCTGTAACCCGAGTACTTGAGACCAAGGCAGGAGGATCGCCATGAGTTCCAGGCCAGCCTCGGCTGCATAGTGAATTTAAGGTCAGTCTGACTACATAATGAGAGCCTGTCTCAAAGTCAAAAGACAGTATTACCTATTAAGCAGTTACAACTGAAGACCATGCATTTCCTATTGCTAAATTCAAAGCCATGAAACATTTTTAAAATTTGTGGAATTTTTCTGGTAAAATTAAGAAAATCCTCCTCCCTCCTCCCACTGGGGATGGACTCTAGAGCCTTCACACTGAGCTATATGCCCACCCCTTTTTAAAATTTTGAGACAGGGTCTTACTAAGTTGTTCAGGCTGCATTTGAACTTTGGTCTTCCTGTCTCTGCCTCTCACAGTGCTGGGATTACAGGTGAGTACTACCACACCTGACAAAGGCACAATTTTAGAAAAGGATCAATATAAATCCCTTGATCAGTATACATCAAGCTTGGTGTAACTGTAATTATTTCAGTCCTGTCCATACTAGCTCCAAAATTTTGAGATAAAAGCAGTCTGGCATATAGAGATGATCCACTGGGATTTAGTGTTGGGGTCAAAACTCTAGGTCATTAATCTTGAGATAAATATATGAATCGTAAAACTCCTGGTATTTCTAGATATGGCCAAACTGCAACACTTGGGCCCATTTCTTTTTTTTTGGTACCAGGGATTGAACTTGAGACCTTGTGCTTGTAAGGCAGGCGCTGGAACCACTGAGCTAAATCCCCAGCCCTGGGCCCATTTCTTATAACATTGAAACCTATCACCACAATGATGTAGTTTTGGTATTTGTGAAATGAATCGAACCTTTTGGGGCCCCCTGCCCCCAACCCATGCTGGTGACTGAGTCCAGGGCCTTGTGGACTTTGGTCACTAACAACTTTGTATGAACTCTCATAACAAAAACAGCTACCCATATTGAAAATACCTGAACTCTCCTGAATTCAACTACTTCACCTTCCTGCTTGAAAATTCTAAATCACTGGATAAAAGATCACTTTTAAACCCTCCCTCCTTTTAAAAAATGGCATCACTTCAGTTACGAGGAGGACTAAGTATCAGGGTTAGAAGAAGTCAATACATATGACATGAATTTTTTATATAAAGTTATGCGGCTACAACTGGGTACAGTTATGGCTAAGTTTGAGTTTGTCCTTGGTGAAAGGTTTGTAAACCCAAACAGAAATAGGATTTACATGAAAAGCCAGTGACAGCTGGGGCCAGTTATCAAGGTGAACCTGGACTGATTATAAAACCACTTAACTCCACTGTCAAGTCTTTCCTACACCGGTTTTATTTGAAAGACAAGTATTTCTCTTTCTGTGATGGCAAATGATTCAAATAATGATGAACATGAATCACTGACTAATACAAGGGTTTTAAATATGAAACAAATCATTTTTAAAAAAGCAAAAGAATAATGGTTATATACAAAAGGTACCTGGAATCCTTAAGTTGATTCCAAAAATGAAATGAGTTCATAAAATCTGTGGCGAAACCAGAACATTTCACCTCTGCTTTGGAGAAGGGCTATAATACAACATTCAGTCAGCTGGAGATGGACTCATAGAGGTGTCTGTACATAAATTTCAAGTCATTTTTGCTTGTGCAGAATCATCCAGATCTGCTCAAGATGGAATGGGCAGTCCCATGGCTTGCTTCCTTTTCTATATTCCCAACAAGGCTACGTGAAGTTCCACTCTTGATGAGCCACTTACAATAGTTCCTTAGGAGCCAACACAACAGGTGGTTCAATTTCCCTATGAGAAACAAAACTGGCCACCTACAGCAAATGTCAAAGCGGGCAGATTCTCCTTTCCTCCTTCTGATTATGTACAATATCTCCTTTCAAGACTATTATCCCCATCATACTTGTTCCTTCACAAGTCTAACCCTTGAGGTGATATGAAGGAGATCAACATCAAGAAAAGAAAAATTCAGAAATGTAGAAAACTGGAAGGTATACAATACACCCCCAGAGCATCTCAAAATCCCAGCTACAGTACAATTCATTGTACGGCTATGGTCCTTAGATAAATAATTGCAGCTTTAATGAGTTCTTTTTTCTTTTCCATTCAGGTGGTTAAAGGGTACCAAATAAATACTGGGCAAGAGGAGCTTGCTGCGAGTTAGAAATTTAAAAATCGACCACTTTATGTCCCTGTGATAATTCAATGCCAGTAGGAAGGCATGTACTGAAGAAGAAAAGGGACAACTTTCATACTAAAAAATAATTCCTCTAATCCAGGGAATCCCGGAAGTAGAAAATTAGGATCAGGGGACCCCTGAGGCACTTTAAAGCCTTTTAAAAAATTACAGTAATAATAAATTAGCTATTGCTCTTCAGAGGCTTACAGAGCAGCTGAAGCATCAAAATCATGTCCATATTTCAGTTTTCTTGAGCTACTCAGCTCTCTTTAAAGCTTAAATGAAATCTCCAAATATTAAAAAGACATACAATTTAACGCAGACTGGTGGGGTTTTTGTTTAGTGGTAGCATGGAATTTGGTCCACAATGGTAGCAGCTGTCTTCATCCATTTCAAACACAGATAATATTAAGTACATTAAGACAATACATAAAAGAAAGGATACAACAAAGGGAAAACAGATGAACATGACAAACACCTCAAGGAATCACTAAGTTCTCTCACACCCTTTCAACTCAGAGCTCCCTCTCAGTCTCTTTTTTTTGTGGAGAGAAGGGTATTACAGAACTTTTCTCAAAGATGCTAAACAATGGCATTAAATGGACAAAATGGTGAGCAAGGGTCTTGAAAAATCCAACCCCAAGGAATCCAGGACATATACAGTAATTCAGAGGTATACTTCTGATTTGGGGCAAATTCAAGAATAAAGAAATAATCATCTCAGGTACATGTCAGAATAGATCAAATGAAGTCTTTTTTTTTGGTGAGGTTTTTTTTTTTTTTGAAGTGTCCTTACTACCACCTTCAGCTATCAATCATTTCTGAGAGTTCGAGCAGAAGGTCGTCTTCATCTTTCCCAGGGTCCAGGTCAATCTCAGCTTCTAATTTGCCTCCCGAGATCTCCCATATTAACTTCTCAAAATCATCCTCCACAGAGAGGGGGGCCTTTCCTGCCGAGGCAGAGCTGAGCCGGCGAGTTTTCGTGGCCAGTTGGGATGAGGAAGGGGCTGATCCTTCCGGGGGGGCAGGGTCTAAAGAGGACTGGGTTGGAGGCAGCACAAAACTGTAAGAAAGAAGTGAAAGGATTATCAGAACCAAGTGTGCCTCTTTGCAATGGTTAGCTGAACCACCTTGTCTCAGGGACACACAGAGTTAGCCAAAGTTGTTTCTGAGCACATACGTAATAAGACAAAACTGTTTCACTGATCTGAGACCAACCACGATTACAATTGAAGGGGATAATTTAGCCAGGCATTTAAAACAGCTTATGGATAATGTAGGCAAAATATAAACAATGGTGCCAAGGGAGAATAATCCTGAATTTCATGTTTTCTTAACAATTAACTTGAAGTTCAGCAGATTTATTTAAATGTACCTAAACTTTTAAGTGTTATTCTCTAGAGAGCATAAACAATATAGTGGTCTACAGTTTGATTAAAAAAAATACAATGCATTACCTGTCTCTAGGTGTTTCTGTCTCAGGCACAGTGACTGATTTGTCCTCAGAGGGCAGTGGGACAACAGCCTACACAAGGAAGAGTAAGGTAATTCCGTAAGAGTCAGGTGTTGATATCTGAGTCCAGCCATTTTCTTTTGCTATCTTTTTAGAATCATGGCTATTTCTTCCTCCTCCCCTTTAGGGTACTGGGTCTTGAATCCCGGCCTTGCATATGCCAGGTAAGCACTCTACCACTGAGGTACATCCCCAGCCCACTGGTCTCGCCATGTAGTTCAGGCTGGCCTCGAACTTGGGACAATCCTTCTACCTCAGCCTACCGAGAGCAGGGATTACAGGTGTGTGCCACCACACCTGGCAGCTACCATTCTTCAAACCGAGGAATCCAAGAATCAATAATCCAAAGGCTGAGCACACAAGTAAGCAAAATATCTTACCATCCAAAAATCAGTTTTTTAAAAAATCCTGTAACACTTCACAAATGTCTAAGTGTAAATGTAAAATACAGCAACAACCTAAACAATCAAAATGCACAGAAAATGAAAGTGCTGCACACAGATACAGAGAGCCAATGGAGTGTCAATCTTTCTACCATACAGAACAAAGCCACCTGAAGTGGAAGTGCTTCTTACCACAGCTGCTTTTTTGGCTGGAATTTCCTGCAGGGCGGGGCTGGAGCTGAGTGGCTTCACAGCTGCAACAGCAGGATGCATCTCCGAGGCCTTGCGTTTCTGGGCCAGTTTGGGAGATGAAACAACTTTAACCACAGATGGCTTCACATTTACTTTGGGTTTAGCTACAAGGAACAGAAAATTAACAGCTAGAATAGTATCTTTTACATGAAGAATAACTCAATAAAATATCAAAATTCCTATTGTACTAGAAATATCAAGTAAATAAATAAAATCCCCAGACTGAAAATAATCTACTACAGGTGATTATAATGTAGGTAATACACACTCAATCTGATTCACTGGTTCTTGAACTTGTTACTACTCTATTCCCTGGTATTTTTCTTCTTCAAAATCACATGACAAAGGGCCAGGGACTTAGCTCAGAGGCACTGTGCCTGTCTCACAAGCACAAGGTCCCAAGTTCAATCCCCGGTACCAAAAAAAAAATCAGAGGAAAAATACACCATAGAAAGTTTTCGACAAAGCTATTTAAACAGAAAATTTTAATTCTGAGAAACTCATCTAGTTTAGTCTTTATAGAATAGTATCAAATATTACTACCCATCGGTGTGACCAGTACATAAGATAAATGAAATTCAACCCAACTCTTGCCAAGAAGTTACCAAAACGTGGTATTGTAATTTTAATATCCCAAAGCAATACATACTATAAAAACACTCACCTTTATCCTTTTTTTCCAAAGACTGTGCCGCACATTTCACATTCAATACTGAGTCCCCAATCCCTGAGGTTTCTACCTCTATCTTCTGGTACGATTTTGCTGGAAGCCGCTTGGTAAGGTGTCGTGTGACACCTGGCACAGCAGTGAGTGGAGGTTTCTCCACGACATGGGAATTGCAAGAGGCTGCATCGCCCTGAAGGGGTGTCAAGACCAATTTTTCCTTCTGGGGGGCTCCCCTCTCCTGCTGTTTTTCTCTCATGGTCTCACATCTCTTGACTGGAGCTGTTGTGGTATCAACTCCTATAGTCTCATCTGAAGCCTTTTGGCAAATATAAAATGACAAAATTAAAATCAGTTCTTTTCAAAACCTATGATAAGGAAAAAAAAAAAAACCTATGATAGGGCCTGGAATTTAGCTCAGGGACACTGTGCCTGCCTCACAAGTGCAAGGTCCTGAGTTCGATCCCCAGTACCAAAAAAAAAAAAACCCAAAAAAACAAAACAAAACAACAAAACCTATGATGATTTATGAAGTACCAGACTAACACTAACATTAAGCAGAGTGTTACACAATCCAGAACCTGAGGAGAAAAGCTCCTTGATATTACACAGAGAATACAATGCTAAAAATGAAGGCCTAAAAATAAAGAACCCAGATTTTTCAGGCTAGACATACACAATCAGAAGTCAAATACTGTCAAACACGGTGGCACATATCTGTGATCCTAGCACTTGGGAGGCTGAGGCAGAAGGATTGCCATGAATTCAAGACCAGTCTGGGCTACAAAATGAGTTCAAGGCCAGCCCAAACTACATAGCCAGATCCTGTTTCAAAAAAAAAGAAAAGTTCACCAGGTTTTGTATAATGCATGATTCAGAAGCAGGGAAAAAAACCTTCAGTTTAAAAAATATTATGGCCAACCAAAAACAAAAAAGCTTTATAAAGGCAAAGGCAAACACTGACATGGAGAGAACTACAGGAAACTTTCATAGAGACTGACACCTAATATATCAGGGATATGTCTGACATTCACTATCAGCTAAAAGCAAAAAGTACATTTTACCATTCATCTAGGTTCTGTTTGCCATGGACAAAGCTACACAATGATTTTTTTTTTTTCTTTTGAGACAAGGTCTTGCTTTGTAGTTCAGCCTGGCCTTGAACTTACAGCAGTCCTCCTGCCTCAGGCTCCTGAGACTGGGATCACAGGCCTGCACCACCACACCCAGCTACACAGTGATTTTAAACCAACTCACCTCATTGGCCTCTGTCCTAGTAGCACTGTTCTGAGAAGCCACTTCATTTTCTTCCTGAAGCTTTTTCTCTTCTTTCATACCTATATTCAAAGGTATCACTAGTAATTTAGGTGGCAACTTCATGAGATGAAGTTAAACAGTATTTCTCTTAATGAGAATAATGATATAATTATGACATAGAAAACTGTAGATAAAGTCCCAAAAGATACATTAAAACATCAAAGACCTATATAGTGTTGTTATAAACAAATAGCTTCATTGAATCCAGTGGTTTTCAAAATCTAGGTAAAGTTCTCAAAGAACTATGAAGACCACAGGGCACACTACTGTTTGGGTTATTACTCAGAGGAGTAGGTCTACTGACCTGTTTTTTTGGCGATTCGGAGCAGCCGCCTTGTCCCTAACGTGGCCTCGGGGAGGGGCTGGGAGCCAGTGGTGCTCTCAGAGCTCTGCTGTACCCTCAGTGCCTTCTCCAGCTTAATTTCCTCCAGCGTCTTGATGTGCACCTCCTGGATAGATTTTGTTCTACCTGGAGGCTCCTCTGATTGTCCTTTGCTGACAGTGATGGGTGGCAAAATTACTGTTTTTTTAATTTCACTATCAGTCTTTAACTTCATGCAAGTTGCATCCTTTTTGCTTTTTTGTCTTTCCGTCTCCTGCTGCCGATGTTTTTTTTCAGCCAGGACCTCGGAGAAGGTTTTGATTCGGACAGTGGAGGAGGAGCTTCTTGTTCCTGATGTAGACTCATCAGCTTTTGACGATCCTTCTGTCTTGAGTTTAGTTTGCAATTCTCCACGTTTCTGACTGGCTCTTTCAAGAAGAATTTCTTCTAATGTTTTCACATGGATCTCACCAATTTTATTAACGCTTTCTGTTTTGGGAAAAAAGTCATTATAGTTGGAGTTTGATCACTTATGACCTCTCTGTTGGATCAATACAGTGCAATACACAGTTATCATTCAGGCAGACAATTAAAATGATCAAAAAGATCAAAAGTATCACATTAGTTTCACTCTCAATTTTAGATCACTGCCATGTTTCAGATAGGTAGTAGCCCTGCATGAAAACTAAAGCAAAAACCGCAGAGCTGTATTTATTCACAATCTTTTTTTTTCACAATCCTGTTTTTTTTTTTGCTTAAATTCTTTTATTGGTACATTTTAGGTATACAATACGTTTACATTTATCATTGGGTACTTGTACCTGTGCATGATGTATCTGGGTTCTTATTTTTTCCCCATTCCCTGTGCTCCCTTCCCTATTTACAGAGACTTTGTTTCCATTTTTTCCTTTTCTCATAATTTTTCCTTTCCCTTCTTTCCTTTCCCCTTCCCCTCCCACTCCCCCTACCCTTTTGGGACTTTTCTTCCTATTTCAAATTATTAATTATTCGCTTTAATCATTCTAATCCTTATTTACACTTTCAGTTTCTCACACCAGAGAAACTATTCGGTATTTACATATGTGTGTCCTATTTATTTCACTTAAGAGGATGGCGTCAATATGCATCCATTTAGCTATAAATGTCTCTAGTTTCTCATTCTTTATGGCTGAGTAGTACTCCATTTTATAAA